GAAAGAGAAAGAGAGGGAAAGAGAAAGAGAGGGAAAGAGAAAAAAGAAAAAAGAGACAGAGAGAAAACAGAGAGAAAAAGAGAGAGGGGGGGGAGAGAGAAAGAGAGGAGAAAGAAAAAAGAGAAAGAGAGAGAAAGGGAGAGAAAAAGAGAGAAAGGAGAGAGAAAAAAAGAAAAAAGAGACAGAGAGAAAACAGAGAAAAAGAGAGAGGGAGAGAGAGAGGGAGAGGGAGAGGGAGAGAGGGAGAGAGAGCAAGCCAGGGGCGGAGGGCAGGCACATGCCCGGGGCGGGGGCACAAGCGGCGGGCGGGCGGGCGCCACTCACCTTGCCGCAGCCCGGCGGCCCCCACAGGATAAGCGAGGGCACCTCGTGCGCCTCGAGCAGCGGGCGGAGCAGGCTCTGCGCGCCCAGCACCCGCTCCTGGCCCACATAGTCGCCCAGCGTGTCCGGCCGCAGCTTGTCGGCCAGCGGCTTCCCCGCCAGCTGCTGCGCGATRCTGCTGCTGCTGCCGCCGCCGCGGCCCTGCTGCTGCAGCGGGGAGCAGCCGGGGGCGGCGGGCGCCGGGGCGGCGGGGCGCAGCTTCTTGCAGGGCGGCGGCGAGCCCCGCTCCGCCTCGGCCCGGCCGTCGCCATCCGCCTCGGCGCCGCCCTGCAGGCAGCGGTCCAGGTGCGCGTTGATGTCGGCGCCCGGCAGCTCGCGCAGGCACACGGGACACTGCACACGCGCCTCGCCCGCCGTGCCTTCCATGGCCGCCCGCCCGCTCGCCGCGGCGGCGGCGCGGGCAGCGCGGGCGCGCAGGAAGCGAGGCCGCCGCCCGCCCGCGGCCCGCCGGGAGCTGTAGTCCGCCCGCCCGCCTCCTCCCCGCGGAGGAGCGGCGGARTTGCCCTCCTTCGAGCGCAAAGCGGCCCCAAATCCAAGCTCCCTCGGGGCCCTCCCGCCCGCGGCCTGAGGCTGAGTGGCCGCAAGGACGGAGCTAACATGGCGCTGGCTGCCCCACTGCAGCAGAGACCAGCGGGGAGCATAACGTGAGAGGGAGAAATGCCGYCCCTCTGGTTAATCTCCTCATGTCTGCCCTAACGTCCTAAAATCATACAGTTATTATGGCTGGAAGAGGCCTTCAAGATCACAGAGTCCAACCATAAACCCCTCACCGCCCTGCCTGCTAAACCGTGTCCCTAAGCGCCCCGTGTACGCGTTTCTTGAATGCTGCCAGGAACGGTGACACCACAGCTTCCCAGCGCTGCCTGTTCCAGAGCCTCACCGCTCTTTCCGTGTCGAGGTTTCCGTTGCTCTTTTGAGGCAGAAGAACCCTCTAAAGTGTTCTGGTGGTTCCTTTTATTAAAATAATCWCTCCTGGTGGAATTATTTCATTGCAGGCACTCCAGGAAGGCTGCCCTAGGTGCAGGAGCGATGGCTCTGTGCACAGGGCCTCCTGCTCGCATAGGACAGGCGCTGCTGAAGCTCTGGGACTGTCTTCATAGCATCCCCACACTTCAAATATTTCTCTTTTAAGAAAAAAAAAAAAAAAAAGTTGTTTTTTTTTTTTCTTCTCTATTTTTCACATATTTTCAGGCCACACACTGCCTGATTGAATGAAAGGCAAGGCTTGGTCCCAGGCATGGGAAATGGATGTAGAGTCTGAAGTGCTGTGAGGTTGCTTCAGCTTAGCAATGATTTCCATTAAACCCAAATCTCTGTCTTTGGGATTCACTGTTGAAATACTGAGTTGAAGATTTTGAGTTGTAAAGCTCCACATAATCCTTATTTTTTTCTTTGAAAAGAAATAAAAAAGGAAATATCTCTTGTGCTATATTGAATGTCACACATGTATTTTATAGAAAAGCATAGTAAGCAGTACAATTAGCATCTTAATTTAYCAGCTGAATCCACCCCCCTGGTAATTCTTTCCACATTACATCTTGTTTTTTTTCTTAAATTATATATTTAGATTTAATTATATACTGTTACATAATAGTTCCCAGCTTGTAAATTTCAGGTCATTCTAATGTCAAGATATATATGCTATGCCTGGGTCCATGAGATGAGCAAGTGTGGCCGTAGTGTAATAGTACCTGTCTTCAGGCTTAAATTTTGGAAGTGACTGGTTTGCAAAGGACCAATTGTTCAGAGATAAAGTTTTGGGTTGAGCTCAGGATGGAGGTTGRTGGACTGAGTTTTGAGCAATGGACTTTATGGACAGAAAGGATTATGATCTAAAATCCAACTATGAAAGAAAAGGGTTGTTTGTAGTTTTTGTTTGTTTGTCTGATGCCTGCTTGTCTGCCCAGTTCTATTTCTGCCCAGTTCTAACTACCTWTTATTTACATTTTTATTGTGCACATGTGCAATGGGCAGACACAGTGGTAAGACTGCATATTCTGCATAAACCCAAGAAGATTTCTGTTTTTCTATGCCATATCTGTGTTTTTTGAGTATATAACTGAAAATATGCTTCATGAAGCATGCTGTTTTGACTGAAGTGAAAGGTTGTCTTGCTGAGGAAGACCAAAAATAAAGCGTTTCCCAGGCCAAATTTCAGGAATGTAGATTATGCGGGGAAGTTTCACCCTCATTTTGGGAAAACAGTGCTCACAAGACAATTGAACACATGCCTTTTTTTTTTTTTCCCCCCCTTTTTAATCAAGTGGAGGACCATTGCCCAGTGGCACATGACCAGCATGGGATTGCTTTCCTGGGACTGTGGAGGAGATAGTTGCAAAAATTTTCACTGTGTGCACCTCAAAAACCTTATTGTTTCAGGGAAATCTTAAGGTAATAATAGGGGAGAGGGCAATATCATTTGGACTAAATCCTAGTCTCCACTTGATAACTGAGCACAGTAATGCCTTCAGCTTGCCCATCCCATTTATATTTTCCCATCAGTCAGCTTGACAGAACAACATGCCCTTTCAATAGGACATGTCATTCTCATTAGATGGATGGCCACATTTGGTGACCATAACCTAGAGGACGACGTGCTCTTTGAAGAAGTATGGAGAGCCTGAATCAACTTTCCCTTGTTGCAGTCATGTCAGGGCAGAAGTGGTCTTCACAGCCAGGTAGCTCTGAAAGACTTTATGGCCTTTGAGTAACTGGAGACTTGGAGGCAGGGTAAGGAATCTGGAAACCTCAACCAGTTTTACTAATGACTTTGAAATGTGTTCCATTATCCTTGATATGAACTAGGTAAAAGGATACGTGCAACTGCTTGAGGRTTATATTGAGGCCCTATATTATGTCACCTGCAATTGTTAGCTTGTTTAACAAAACAGAAACCTCCTGCTATGAGGACCTGGAGAGGAAAAAACTCTTAAAACATCTTTCTCCTGAAGGGCAGAGAAAGGAGTCCTGAGAACTAGGTGGAGGCTGGAAGGAGAAGACTTGACATTTTTACATACTAGGTGTGAGACTTGTGCAGCTCATGAATGTTTTACAGTCCCATGCTGGTGCCCATGCATCACATATATAAACAAAAGCGTCGCTTTAGGATCCTTCTCAGACTTTGGGACTCCACATGTCATATGGTAGCAGAAAGAAGAAAGAAAGGTGAACACATGCTGTAGTAGGCAGTGCTTGTACGGCTTCATGGGACACTGATGCTCTAGGAGTGAAGAAGGCTCATTTATAAGCTGCTGCCTTGAACAATATATCCTTTGCTGTCCTATGACTTACAAAKGCAAATGTTAGCATTGTCCCTCCTGTGTCACATGTGATGGCATGTGGCATCTTTAGCATCTCAGAAGAGTGCTGAGGTTTAAGTGTTGTCAGTGCAAAATCAGTTGAGAGAGGTATAAGTCTAATCTGTTCCATGGACATGCATATGGGGTCAAAATACAATGAAGAAYATTGTCTACTGGGAGGTATTCACATGAAAAAAACTAAATTAACTTGGTCTCTGGTTGTATATTGCATGCTATTTCTCACTGCTGCTAATGGCTAACATTGTGCATACATCCCTAATTATACTAGATATAGTATTTATGCAAGCTAAAACAAAAAAATAAACAACAAAAAAAGCAAATGAGTTATATAATGAGACTGACCAAATTCAGCTTTCTTGAGCTAAAGCAGTGGCACATGCTTCGTATTTGGGTTTCAATTATGGTTGCAGTGGTAACAGTGAAAGCATTTTGCCTTTGAATGTCCTGGRTCAGCATTGACTGTCCTTCTTTTGCTTGCTACGTGAAATTTTAAAATAGTTTAACCACTCTTTTAAAATTATTTGTGGAAAAAAAAGGACATACTTTCCATGTTTAGCTAATACTTAGGGAAAAAAAGTCACTTTGCTCTAGAATAAAAACTTGTCTACAGAAAATTAAAACCAGTAACCACAGACCAGCTTATCTTGCAGTAAGCTCTCTAGGCAATATTACCTTTAGACAAATCTTGGATCTTACAGTAGGGAGGAACTGAAAACTGTGAGGGCCTACAGTGGAAAAGAGCCTGGGTGAAGAATGTGCCCTTATACAGCACTCAGCAGGGAGGCTGAGACCACGATCATTTAGCAGTTATGTATTTCCATGGAACGGGGTAGTGGAAAGAGAGCCTGAAGTGTTTAGGCCTAAATCACTTTGTTTAATTCCTAAAACTTCAGYGGATTTAATAAAAAGGACCTCATGTATCACTTGCTGAAACAGCAACAGAGAGTCAGAGCACACATCTGAGCCAAGTGAACCACTTTCAACCCAAGTGATTTAAAAAATGAGTCATGCTCTATGAACAAGGAAGGTCTACCAGCAACAGCAATATACTGATTTACTAAAGCTAAATAATTGCTATGAATAACTAAAATTACATCAGACTTGTATTTTCTAGAGTTGAGAGTGAACAGGCAAAGGATCAGATTGAATATCATCTGTTAACAACTAGTGCTGCTAACTCGATATTGGCATACTTACTCAGAATACATAAGGAGAGATCTAAAAAAAAAGCACAATGACAGTTTTCTAAGCTAAAATGCACAAATGACATTGATGCTTATTTATCTGTTTTTTTTATACAGACAAGAAAAAGGAACAGTCAGAAGTTACGAGTGTTCGTTGGTCTATGAATCTAAGATGGTGAGGAATAAAGATAGCAACTTAACAGAGCACAGTATGAAGCTATTTAAGATTAACAGGCTGGAGGAAATCAATGTACGATACAACAGTAACAGGCTGGAAAAAACGGCCTTTTTTCAGAGCAAGGAGAAAGTGGAGAGGACTAGAAGATTTCAGGAAGAAAAAATCAGTGAATCAAAAGCCGGGACAGAAGATAAAGAGGTAACCAGCTGACTAACTGTGTCATTCATATTGTCTCACCACAAACACCCTCCCTTTGCTTTGGAGAGGGCACTATTCCACRCTGTGTGGAAGTTGGCTGAGGAGTTGTCCTCTGTGCTGTACATGTCCCCAGTGAGAGTGATACTGGGCAYTGTATTACATGGTCTCTGACAGGAAAATCACCCTGTGTTCAACAAAAACATCTCTAGAAGTAGCAAAATATTTCCTAACATTATGCTTTTTCTATAGGAAAGTCTAGAGGAGCCACTATTTGTGTTGATCTGTCAATAGGACTAAGGACATGAGCTTGCAGTGGTGGAATCAAAAATTAATTTTATGCACTGGTTTGTAAAGAGGCTTGAAGAAGAACTTGTGCTGTGGCTCCTGTCTCTGCTGATAAAGCAAAGCAGGTTTTCAAGTATTCTGAGTGTTCTCCTATTCAGATGATACCCCAAAGTATTTGTGTAAAGTAATTTCATGACGTTT